AAAAGAAAAACATTCTAGCAATTAAAATGCAGGAATGATAGAAAAAGACTTAAATACACTCAATGAATCAACATGCAAAAATGATTCATTAAGGGTATTTGACCAATTTCACAGGTAGTGCTGGTATTTTAAAAGTTAGCATGTCCTAATTTTCACTTTTCTCAAATTCTATTCCATTTAAATGAATGATTAATGCATATCCTTTTGGTAAACTATAAATACATTTAAATTGAATAATCACTTCCTCCATTTAATGCATGTTTCTTAATCTTACACATTATCATGGTCAAGTAAAGAACAAGCTCTAAAATTCTAAGCAGATGGCTGTCTAAGGCTATTTCCTGCTACGTTATTGATAGTGCAAGCATAATAAGAAGAAATAACTGAAATAAACATGTAATAGAGCAAAATGATATGCTTTCTTATCATTGCAAATCAAACAAAAAACAAAAAATTAGCATCTAATACAATTTTAATTTCCATATATTCTCAGCAAGTTAGAGAAGGTTCTGTTAACTCACTTCTGTACCTTGTGTAGTAAGCATCTGCTTGAAAATGAAGAGCAGGCCAAAGAAACTGCAAGCAAGACCTGGAATATTATGATAAGAAAACAATCATATTCTGAAAAATTAAAAGTAGCTTGGTTTATTTATCACAAGTCAAAATAAAAAGTTGGAAAATGCTGACACAACCTCCAATATCAGCAATTTTCAACTTCTCATGCAAAATAATTCTTGCCATGATTGAAGCCATAATTGGAGTTGTAAAGCTGAGAACAATAGCCTGAGATAAAGGCAACCTTTGAATGCTGAAAAGGAATAAAGCAACAGTTTATGACTACAATTTTATACCTAGTTATGTTCAATGTTTATTTATAAAAATAAAACTAATACAAGAAAGCACTACAATGAGAATTTAACAAATCAAAAATTAGACCTAGGAAAGTATAAAGACAGAACACAATAGAGGCTGCAACAAAACAAAAACCACATACTGGAGGAAACTAGTGATTGGCAAAAAGAGGGAAGATACTAGTAATAATATTCACACCAGTAGCAACAGTGCTGTTACAATTGCCTACACATATATCTATGTTCACTGTAGCAGTAACTTGTGAGTTGTGACATTATGATAACAAAGTGCTCTATATACTAAGGTATTAGAAAAGATAACTGGATCACCACTATCAGCAGAAAGGTACTGCAATCACAGCTCATTCCGGCCAAACTATCCAAAATTTCTCACATAGGAAACTGCTGTCAAGCAAAACATCCTCATCAAAATCAAATTAGCAATCAAAAATATGTCTATCATCTTTCACAAGAAGAAATCCTTTATAAAGCATTCAAAGACAAAGACTGAATAATCTTACAGCATGCATATTAGCTTTCTTTCTTTCTTTCTCCTTTTTCTTTCTCCATTAATTGTTGTAGGAAAAAGGAATTGTTAATAGTAGAAGCAAAATGTAGTAACATGCAGTAGGGAAATCATTTGAAATGAAACCCACCAATAGAGAAAGCTCGATAACGAGAGGTATCCCACTACGGCTCTTAAAACTAAAATCTTCCTGGGATATGTGGCTCCAATTATTGGCTGTCCACTTCTTCTCAACCACAAATACGACAGGACCAAGATAATTGTACATCTTATAAATGCAGTCTCAAATAAAGGAATTGACTGAGCTGAATCACAAAATGGAGAAAATAAGAGTCAAAGCATGGTATGGAAAGGCAAAATGGAAAGAGCATAATCACATTTAGGTACTAGAACTTATTTAGAACTCTTGAAAGGCTGATACAAAATAATACTAAGCAGAACTCAGAAATCTTTAAAATGTAAAACAGCACAACAAAACATGATATATGTAAGATATAATACATCAAAAACAAGGTTAATTTGAAGAACATCATAATCATCCATAGTTTGCAGCCATCGCTACAATCAACACCATGTGAACAAGAAATCTATTCCTCATCATGGACATAATATGCTAGAGAACTCCTAGAATGTGATAACCTATTGTTAAACATTTAGAAAAGACCACGAATCCTAATTTAGAAGGTACATGGTGGTACAATGAACTCCTAGCTTGCATCTACTACCATTATGAGGCATTAGCATTCTAGTTGTAATTTAAAATTATGAGGAATCATTTGATAATGAATGTATATACATATTACCAATTTTAAAGTTTCATATTGGGGTAACTCAAAGGTATTTCATTACCAGAGTCTCAGCTAAAGAGACCAGACCAGACCATAATAATAATACAGTAGTCTGATTTCTTTTGGGGGTATAACGCATACGTTGAACAGTGGGATAGACAACGATGGATTGCCCTCTCTTATCCGAAAAACATCCCCATCCAAAACCTACATGTTTGAGTTTCTCTTGATTTCTATACTAATTTTCCTACGAAAATAGCCATGTTGACCATGGATGTGTCATATGGAATATTATGCCTGTATGTTATAGAAGCTAGCCAGAAAAGATCTGTTGAGTGGAAGACAGAAAACTCAATTCAAATAAACTTCCAAGAGCCAACACCAGGATTTAAATTGTTCCGAGAATTGGAACTAGCTTATATATCAAATTGATGCTGCAGAAGCTAATTTAAAATGCTTTTATATTAAAACAAATTACAATCATCTGGAAACTTGAAGTCAATGGCCCAGTGCTTATGATTTATCCTTAATTTTTTTTTATGTGTTTACAATGTAAACACATAAAAACTACACCACTATCCACTACTGACTACCCTGGTTTACATGCATATTATGCAATGATGTGCATATATTAAGTTTGAGCACTGTTAAAAGATAGCCTTTCAAAGCTCATAAAAACAATTACTTCAATTATCTTAGAAAAGTTATTTCCACTTTTTCTAATAACAAGATTGTTGTCACAAAACTCCACTATGTCAAGAAAAAAAATAACATGCCTTTTGCATTAGGTTCAGCGAAAAAGGAACAGTGTACTCACTAACCAGTAAAAATATCAGAAACAACTTCCATGACAAAGTAGATTGTAGATGATACGGCCATGCATAACAGACCAGAGTATCTGGATCCATTCCATACCCAAAAAATAAACTGCATAAAAGGAGATATCTCTGTTTCTGTTACTACCACGGGCTCCTGCAAAGATATCAAACCCATTAACAATTGTAGATAAAACTAGCTGAAAATCCTCCTCTGTGCATAAGCTTGTTGACTACCATTAAATTTGACCTCATGAACACGGTTAACCCAAAACTTCAGTGTATTAATAGTTTACAGACCTTTAAATAACAGGAAAAGAAAAGTTCAGGCATTCAAGTCAATTCCCCATCTTTTTAATCAATCAAACAGAGGTCTACATTCAAATGGAACTACTTTAAAATGAATACTTCATTCAATCACAAAACCAGGTTGCTTCACTGGAAAACCTAGAAGTTGAATTCCAATCTGATAAACTAGAAATGCTAAATTATGTCATACACAATCAGAATAAAATTCAACTAACCGTGATTTATCGCACTAAGCAGGCAACAAAAAATAAATCACGAATTCAGATCCTTCAGTATATAGGCCATACCCTAGGTTTCCTTCGGGAATGAGAGACGGAGAAGCTGTTCATCCTGGGCCTCTCCGGCTGCGTCAAGAGAGGTGTTATCTCCCCAGATGCTGGTGCTCCGCGACCATCAGCTCCGGATCCAGGTTCGTCTAACACAATCAGCTCCACCGCGTTGTCAACATCGTTGGCGTCTGACGGCGGCGCCATTTTCTCGAAGAAAGCCCCTAGCAGTAAAAAATTGGTTGATAATTAAAGAAAATTAAATTTAATAAGCCTGCCCACCGGCCAGAACAGGAGAGAGGAAAAAATTGTTGGAAAGGGAGGTTAAAATCAACTTTTAGCACCTCATCTTATAAAATTAGTAGATTTTAGTTCTTAATCTTATAATATGATATTTTTAGTTCATTACTATACAAAGTTGGTAGGTTTTAACCCCTTACCTTATATTATAACATTTTTAACCCTATTATTTGTACAAATTGAAGAAAATAGCCCTTATTTAACATCAAATTATAATATTCTATTAGTTCTATTAGTTGTTGTTAGCTCTGTTAGTTGACTGTTAGTTCTGTTAGTTGACTGTTAGCTCTGTTAATTAATTGTTAGCATTCATTAACATTCCGTTAATAGAACTAACAAATAAAATTGAATTTAAATTTCATGTTTTTTATAACGAAATACTAACGGATGTTAATAGTTAATTAACAAAACTAACAGAATGTTATAACCTAATATTAGGTGAGAGCTTTTTTCTTTAATTTGTATCGGTAAGGGGTTAAAAATATCATAATTTAAGGTGAGGGGTTAAAACTTATCAACTTTGTAAGGTGAGAAGCTAAAACTTATCAATTTTGTAAGATAAAAAGCTAAAATTGTCCTATTATAAGGTGAGGGGTTAAAACATATTAATTTTGTAAGGTGAGGGGCTCAATGTTGGTTTCTGCCGGAAAGGGACGTCTAAACGGTTAAAGTTGGCATGGCCTGTACCCGTAGAAGCGACGATATAAATGGTCGGGCTGTGTAATCTGCTGAGAAACAGATCGGGTAATCGGATGCCGACCCAAGAAAACGAAATGGGGCTGAGCTTCTCGGCATTGCATTATATTTAGTATATTTAATTTAAAAATTTTTAAGGATAATTTTTTTAAATTTAATATTTTTTTAAATATTTAAAAATTTATACTTAGAATTTAATCCAATTAATATTGAATAACTTGTAAGCTCAAAAAAAAATATTGAATAACTTGTGGATATATATTCATATATTTAGTTTAGAGAAAAAAGATGTTTTGCACTAATTATTATTATTGCACAACTCATATGTTTGATTTAGAGATTATTATTTATAATACAAGCTGCTATTGTTGTATATGATTTATTTAGCTTACAAGCCTTGCTTGTATTTCTATTTTTGTAATTTATTATTTTTATTTTTT